GGGCGAAGCTGCACTTGCTAGCTGGGGTCAGCTGACCCCTATAGATTTCAAAATTTTTAGTATAAAATATTGTTCAAACATTGTTTACTAGGTTAATGACCCCACTAAAAAATATTGCTGACCCCGATGAATGATGAGACTGGCTCCGCCCCTGTTATCGGGTCCATTTAAAATGAAAACAACATAATATTTTATTGATAATATTTCTTCAAGTACACATATTAAGAGAGATATTATCATAAAAATGTCCCGTCAATAAAGTGCTTGTGAAGATGTGTCAAAAGAAGATACTTTGAATCCAAATAGATTTGTGTAAAATTATGGTATCACTAGGCAGAGAATAATACAACCGAAAATTTAATGATTATTGAGGAGTTCGATTCTTCTCAAATTCTCTTTGATATTGGATTGAGAATTCCAATCTTAAGGTATAGCCCAAAGATTACAAACAATAGCATATTTGCGTAAAGGTCCTTGTCAACCGTTTGATCCTCGTGATCGATCGTCCACTCGTAATGCACCTAAAATAACTAATTTGCATCATTATCGAGCTGATTTATTTTGTGTCATGATTGATTTGCAACTACAGAAGTTCCATGACCGTATCTCGGAGGCTAGTACGTGGTTGCTACTTTGTATAGCTTGTTTATCTCCACAAGATTCTTTTTCTGCTTTTGACAAGGGCAAATTAGTTAAGATGATCGGGACACTTTCTTATAAACGATGTTCTCTTTCTCGAGGATCAATTGCAGGACTATATTGTTGATATGTGCTTCAACAATTTATTTAAAGAATTGAAGGTGGACTTGCAGAGAAGCTGGTGCAGACAAATAAGCATAAAGTGTTTATTTGGTTTACAAGCTTTTAACTTCGGCGTTGGTTTTACAGATTGCAACAACTAGCGTGGAGCTAGTTATACTAGTACTATTGACGATAGATTGAACAAATGATATTATGAACGATAGATTGAACAATCAAATGAGCGATGATTGGTAAAATGATAAACTACTGGTTGTTGTCGAAAAGAAACTTTTTTTTTTAAATTGATAATGATATTATTATAGAGCGATATCAAATCATGAAAAACTGTGAAGTACGAATATGAATGTATTTCTTTTATTTGCACATTTCGTTATAATAATTTATATTTTTTTCATTAATTAATCATGTCCGCTCATTATATTTGTTCATCAGTGAGAGTAGCAATATGGCGCAGAGCTCGAGAAGCCCTAAGAAATCGGGATTTGATTAATAAAACTAAAAAAACCACTTTAACTACTTAAATGAATGTTTTTAATTAAATCCATTATTTTTAACCACAACTCGACAAACGAAAAGGAGGTTTCCAACGGGTCTCCAACGGCTCAGAGCAGCGGCTCAAAACAGAGGTGAGAGGAAGATTTTAATTTTGAGCTTTCTACCATTTTTTTGGAGAAGCCTACTATCCCGTCGCAGAATCATTCGAGAGTTTTTACCATTTGGATATATATAAAAGTTAGTTATTGTAGGTAATCAATGGCTAAAAACTCTCACGGAATGATTCCATGACGGGATGAGAGCTTTTTCCCATTTTTTATGTTAGAATTTTTATTAAAACAAACATTTAAGGGTGTGATTGTTTATCAATCCACTCAAAAAAAAAAAAAAAAAAA